AATGTACAGCCGAATGTTAGGAATCATTAGGACAGGGTAAATAAAAAAAACAGAAAATATCATAATTCCACTGTATTAATCCCTGGTACGCCCACACCTAGAATACTGCATGCAGTTTTGGTTGCCCCATCTCAAAAAAGACATACTGGAATTGGAAAAGATACCAAGAAAGGGAACCAAAATTATTAGGAATATGGAACAGCTTCCATACGAGGAGGGATTAAAAAGACTGGGACTTTTCAGCTGAGAAAAGAAACGACTAAGGAGGAATGTGATAGAGATCTATAAACTCATGAATGGTGTGGAGAAAGTGAATAAGGAAATGTTATTTACTCCTTCATATAACACAAGAACCAGGGATCACTCAATGAAATTAATAGGCAGCAGGTTTAAAGGAAACATAAAGAAGTACTCCTTCATACAACGTACAGTCAATCTTTGGAACTCATTGCCAAGGGATGTTGTGAAGGCCAAAAATATAACTGGGTTAAAAAAATTGGATAAATTCATGGAGGATAGGACCATCAATGGGTATTATTGAAAATGGTCAGGAACATAACCCCGTGCTCTGGGTGTCCCTAAACTTCTGACTGCCAGAAGCTGGGACTGGACGAGAGGGCATGGATCACTTGAAAATTGCCCTGTTTTGTTCATTCCCTCTGGCATGGGTCACTGCTGGAAGACAGGATCCTGGGCTAGATGGACCATTGGTCTCACCCAGTATGGCTATTCTAAGACATTTTTTTGAATATTTTTCTCTTTATCTTACTGGTTATTCTATTTCATGTTTTAGCTGTATGGACCAAACCCTATGGTAGTCCCTATTGTGTTAGTTTAGAGCGTTGCCTGAATGCCTGAAAAGAAACTGCAGAATTTGGGCCAATCACAGTTTAAATATTTTCAGTTTGAAAATATCATTGATAGAGAAAGTCCATCGTTCTAAGTAACAGCACAGGTCAGGAATAATGTATATCTCCTTTACTCAACACATTTCCTGAAAGAAAAACAAGTTGGAGATAGTTCATTGGCTGAAGGCTGACTTCCCTTACTTACAGCATGATAGTAGTTAAGATGACATGATGTTGCTGACAAAGTTGGTGCTGGAATATGTCAGGTGAAAAAGTCCAGCATATTAATACAAACCTTAGGAATTGGTGGCAAATGTGAAGATTGCACTCATTTGGGAATGTAGTGTTCAGACACATTGCACCTCATGGGCTAAAATGCTGGATTGTATCCTAGAATGTAGACATCAAGAGTTCCTGACAACAGCAGTTAAACCTTGAGCTTAGTATCAGTAAATCATGTTGATGACAAGGACACAACATTCATATCCTTGATGGAAAATAGATGTTACAATTATGTCATCATCCCTGTTATCCTATGCTTCACATGGAGCATTGTTGTATTTATCAAGCCCTTCGGGAATGATACAGGTAGTAAAAAATGTAGATAATGTTGATGAGTACAGCTGACATCCCACATAATCTGACAGAACATAGTGTCTTGTGAGAATAAGGCGGCCTAAATATAGGGTCTTCAAATATATGCTGGAAAGTTAGAATTTCTATAAAGTAAATACATGGGACTATAGTTGAAGACTCAAACTTCTTCCTGGATCAGTAGGCACTGGATGTTCTGTGGAGGCTAGAAAAGGTGAGGTTAGGATAAACAAGCACCCTACATTGCTCTGTGGTGGCACATCTGACAGTCTCAGGAGTGGGGTTGATAAGCTGTAGAGGGGAATTATGTGATGCCCTAAGCTGGAGGAACATCCTGCATGATGACAGTGAGCAAAATAAAGGGGAGCATTTGAGGTATTCTCAGAGCAAGGGGGGCAATGTGAGCACAAATTCTCTAAAATGAAATTTTGCTCCTACACACCTTTTATTTTCCATTCGTTTCGAAAGCTTCACATTTTCATTTTGGACTGAATGTGCCTTGAATATATTTCCACATAAAATAAATAAATAAATTATTTTTTCCACAAAAGACGCATATTGCCAAAGTGTGACCTTCCTGTTATTTAAATAACTTAGAATAGAAACTGTGACACTGGGAAAGACAAGTTCTACCTTTATTTCCCTATATATGTTTAGTAGATACTTAAAATGCATACCTTAATCTGAGCCTGTTTATAAGGCATGAAGTTACCCTTGTTTTGTTTAGCCAAATGGTCGAAACGCTGCCAACAGTATGTCTGGAATGTTATTTACTTGATACATTTCTGTGGTTTTTCTTTGTAGCACTGCACATGCCACAGCTAGGGGTCATTTACTTAAAAATGACCAAAGTAATACCCCCAAGTTGCAGTTATTCTTCTCAACAGGGGGTTGGTAATCAAATGGAGTGTCTCATCATGTTCAGCAGCTTCTGTGCTTTTTTCCTCTCCCTTTATTGTTGTTGTTCTTGATAATCTGAGTTGATTTTTGTAGAGATTTGGAGAAGCACTATTTATTCTTGCTCTTTGTTCTCTGTAACTTGATTCCTTTACTAGTGCTTCAGCTTTTTGCAATGTGTGTTGTGATACTAGCTGATTTAAGTGCATTTAACCTGCTTTTCTGAACTATTATTATTTTATAAGAAGATAGTTATTGTATGGATTTTTTGTTATTGTTGTTTGTAGACTAAGTTGCAAGAGAACTGTGGGTGTTTTAACGTTTCTAACGAAAGGGTAGGGCAGGTTGGAGAAGATCTTTGATGAATAGAATCTGCTTCTTGGAAATATCATAAGGCCGTGTGGCCCATATTCAGGAGGTGAGACTTGCCTCTAAAACTTGCTGTTCTTTACCATTATGCTGCATCACCTCGGACTGTGTGGATCTTGGAAAACGTTTGGGATATGGATTTAAGTGGAGGCAGAGGATACCTGAGATTAGAAGGGAAATACTGGATGTTGATCCATACGCATAGGGTTTTGCCAGGAGTCTCTCGGAATTGGGCTCTATCTCCCGGAGGCCACTGAAGCCAAACTGGGAGATTTTACGCTGCTAAAAGTCTGGCTGCACAGCAGGGCTAAGGCAGGCTCCCACCTGACCCGGTCCCACACCGTTCCCTGCGGCTCCTGGGGGGGTCAGGGAGCTCCGTGCGCTGCCCCTGCCCGCAGGTACCCTGCCCCCAGAGCTTCCATTGGCCGCAGTTCCCATTGCTGTGGAGTCAGCGCTCGGGGCGCGAGCAGCGTGCAGAGACCCCTGCTTTCCCCCCCCAGGGGCCGCAGGGACATGCTGACCACTTCCAGGAGCGGCGTGGGGCCAGGGCAGGCAGGGAGCCTACCTTAGCCCCGCTGTGCAGCCAACCAGAAGCCACCTGAGGTAAGCGCCACCAGGTCAGAGCCCTCACCCCCTCCCACACCCCTGCCCTAGCCCTGAGCCCCCTCTTGCATCCAAACTCCCTCCCAGAGCCCACACCCCTCCCGCACCCCAATCTCCTGTCCCAGCCCTGAGCCCCCCTCGCAGAGCCTATACTCAGGGCCGACGAGGGCAGGGGAAGCCGGTACAAATTACCGGGGCCCGGCGGTCCAGAAGGGGGCCCGGCTTTCCCCCCCCCCCCTCGTCGGCCTTGTTTAGCCAGTCCGCCCTTGCTGGGGGGCCCAAAAATTTTTTTTCACTGGGGTCTGAACCTGCTCTCGGCGGCCCTGCCTATACTTGCACCCCAACCCCCTCCCCTAACCCTGAGCCCCCTCCAACCCAAACTCCCTCCCAGAGCTTGCACCCCACACCTCCTCCTGCATCCCTACCCCCTGCCCCAGGCTCAGCCTGGAGCCCCCTCCCACACTCCAAACCCCTGCCCCAGCCCGGTGAAAGTGATTGAGGGTGGGGGAGAGCGAGCGATGGAGGGAGGGGTGGGGCCACAGAAAAGGGGCAGGGCAGGGGCAAGGCCTCGGGAAAGGGCAGGGCAGGGGCAGAGCAAGGATGTTTGGGTTTGTGTGATTACTGTTGGCAACCCTACATATGTATGAAAGGACCCTAGCTCTGTCCCTTTTCCCGTCCCATTTGTGGCACCGGCAGCTTTGGGCTGGTAATGTTCCTTTAATCCCTTGGATAGTAACCACCTAGAGCCAAATTCTGCCACCCTTACTCACACCAAGAAGTACCTTATTACAAGAGTAGTTAAGTAACTTTACTGGAGCATTGAATTTCTACTTGACATAAGTGTAGACGAAGCTGTCTCAGAAAGCAGAGCACAGCAGCCATAATTTGCAATAAAATTTAAGCATTTTCCTTAGTGAATTATACCACATATAGCATTTTCCCCCAACTCCTCCCCCATCAGACGAGACCTTCCCTTAGTACAGGGGTTCTGTTATATTCATTGAGGTGTGGTGGTGACTATGCAGAGTGGAGAAGAACACACCATGTATCCACATTTCCCCTTTGCCTTCCCCCGACTGTATCCATGTGGTAAAGGGCTTTCTGCTTCCCTGAGCACCTCATAGAGTGATTGAAGCATATGGCTCTTAGACTGTATCATGTTTGTTAACTTGTCTGGATTGTAACAAATCAAATATGGCTTGTGTGTGTGTGCTTTATCCTACGTGCTTTTTTGTTGCCTTTGGATAGCAACTTGTTTTCTTTTGAAACCATTTTTGCTGTATTTATTTCCTACTTTGATCATTTTACTGATAAATACCTCCTGTCTGTATTCACACCTGCTCTTCTTTTATTATCCTAGCTTAAATATAAATTCTTCCACTGAAATAAATCAGCCTTGTAATTTGAAAAATGTAAAACTTTGGTTTAAATTACTTATTACAGGTAATATATGTTTGATGGTTGAATATGAAAAAACTACTTGGCAGAATTTTAGCTTGAATCTCTGCCAGACAACAATAAAGTGCAACCTAATTCCTAAAAACGCCCAACCTATAAACTACCTGTCATGACCTAACATGCATATAGTAATAACAGGCTGACAAGGCTAATAAAGTCTACATATTACTATAGCCACGCAATGCATGCTGTAACAGGACTATAATGTGTTTTGTCCTTCATATTATGCAGCCCACACATCATCTTCCTGTCACAGAGCGTATTAACTGGAGGGAGCCATCTCTGTGGAACACGTCTGTGCCATGAAATTGCTCATGCTTGGTTTGGATTGGCCATTGGTGCTCGTGATTGGACTGAAGAATGGATAAGTGAAGGGTTTGCTACTTACTTGGAAGATGTATTTTGGGAAGTAGCACAACAGGTATGAAGACAGATCACCATTCTGTTTTATAATGTAGAAATTAAGATGCTCTCTAACTGAATGCCTTAATATTAAATTGAAAGAAATTACTATAAATCTATATTTAAAAGTAGTATGTTCTGAGGCTACACCTGTTAGAATGCAGATTCCAGTAGCATTATAAATTGGTTTAAAATTCCTTACTTTCACACCTATCCACACTGAACATGAACCTTTTCAAAGGTATAGGTCATTGCATATAAGAACTGAAACATATTTTCTCAATGATCATCCACCCAAAGACCCACTACTCAAAATTGCCCCATTTCTCCCAATCCATTGCTCTTTTTTGTCCTTTCCACCCATCTAATCATCTTTCCCATATCTGTGCACCACTGAAATCAACAGCACCATGTGGGCAAGAACTCTTCTGGGCTGGGACTCTATTTTTGTTTGTTTTGTAAAGTACCAGGCACACATATGGTACTATATAAAATCATTACCATCACCATATCCAGGTTTCTGGAGAGAGAAAAAGATGCAGCCCCTGCCTAACTGCCTTCCCTTCCCATCCTCAAACTCTTCTCTGATCCCCATCTTTACTATCACTCTTCTGTTACAAGCTGCTTCTATTCATTGCCTCTACTCTGTTTTGAGCCAGCTGAAGGCATTTGCTCTGTAGCAAATTTTGCAGAACTGGCAAGGAATGGGCAACAAAAATCACAACTGGATGATTTTTTTTCCTATTAATTTACAAGGCTATAAAAAGTATTTTTCTTTTTTAATCATTGGGTAATTTTGTTGCCGTATATTAATTGGGTTATAAATATACCCTATATTACATCACAGTAACTGCAGTTCAGACTGAAATAGTAGTGTAGTTCAAGGGAATGCCAAATTTTATTTCCATAAGGAGAAATCAGAAGTTAGTTCATTTGTACCCAACAAATTGGCATATATTTCATTAGCAACCATCACTGTAAATATGCTTTTGGTAGCGGGGAAATACAACAGGGAGCTTACACCAGCATAGCAGAAATAGTAGGAAAGAGGAGTGAAATCAGGACACAAAACAGCTTTCTGCTTTCAAGGCTGGGAAGAATAAAGATGCAGCCAGAACTGATATGCCAGGTATCTGTACTGTATGTCCAGCTCACTTATTGCCAATCTCTGAGGGGAAAACAACCTGCCTATCTCCCTCCTCAGGCAGAAATATTTAACTGACTATTGATTTGATGCTCCCAGCGAGGCTCCTGTTTTCCCTGTGCTGGTCTTAACCCTTTGTAAAGCTTGCATTTTTCAACAAGGGTGCAGATGTTTGTGCCATCCTCTGCTCCTCCTACATGTTAAAGGGAAACAAAACAAGTCTTTCCATCCAAAAATTATTGACCATTGGGGAAAACAACAAACAATGAACTACGTATTTGTATACTAAGCAGCTGCCACATGACGAAGCAAGAGAGCAGCAGGAGTTGAAAGCTTTGCTGCGCTGGCGACGGCTCAGAGACGAGGTGCAGAACTCTGAAGAAGAGCTGCAGGTATTAAGGTAAAAATACAATGGCATATTCTTTTCCTTTGCACGCGTGTTCTCTCTCTCCCTCCCGCCCATTTTCCCCCCTGCATCCATCCATCCATTTCCCTCCAAAGGAAATACAGCCAAATCATCTGATTATATCTACTGCATTTCCTTATTTCCTTCTGAAGAAAAAAGATACCCTAATTAAATTGAACTAGGTTACTCATCTTCTGCATTATGAGAATTTTTTTTAAAGGCTTCAAAAATGCGGGTTTGTGTTTGATATAAAATGTTTCTAAACATTTTATAAGTGCTTCTGTTCAGAAAAATAGCAAGAGGCCATTTCCTGAACAAAGTTCCTTGTTTGAAGCCATAATAGTTGCTTTATATTGTGGTTGAAGACAAGCACAAAGATGAGGTACAGTATCTAACTCAGTGGTTTTCAAACTTTTTTTTCTGGCGACCCAGTTGAAGAAAATTGTTGATGCCTGCGACCCAATGGAGCTGGGGATGAGGGGTTTTGGGTGTGGGAGGGGCTCAGGGCTGGGGCAGAGGGTTGGGGTGTGGGGGTGAGGGCTGCAGGGTGGAGCTGGGAATGAGAGGTTCGGGGTGTGGGAGGGGGCTGTGGGCTGGGGCAGAGGATTGTGGTGCAGGAGGGGGTCAGGGCTCTGGGTTGGGGGTGCAGGCTCTGGGCAGGGGCCGGGGATGAGGGGTTTGGGGTGCAGGAAGGGGCTTTGGGTTTGGGGGTGGCTCAGGGCAGGGGATTGGGGCACAGCTTACCTCAGGAGTCTCCTGGTCAGCGGCACAGCAGGGGTGCAGAGGCAGGTTTCCTGCCTGTCCTGGCCCCTCGGACTGCGCTGCGCCCTGGAAGTGGCAAGCAGCAGGTCTGGCTCCTAGGTGGAGGCGCGCAAGCGGCTCTGCGCATCTCTCGCCCGCGGGCACCGCCCCCCACAGCTCCCATTGGCTGGGAACAGTGCGGAGCTGGTGCTCGGGGCTTCGGCAGTGTACGGAGCCCCGTGGCCCCCCCGCTAAGGAGCTGGACCTGCTGCTGGTCGCTTCTGGGGCACAGCGCGGTGTCGGAACAGGTAGGGACTAGCCTGTCTTAGCCAGGCAGCACCGCTGATGGGACTTTTGACATCCTGGTCGGCGGTGCTGACCAGAGCTGTCGCGACCCAGTGCCTGGGTTGTGACCCACAGTTTGAAAACCACTGATCTAACTCACAGGCTGAATAAAGTCTTAAAAAACAAAGGACAACGCTTAATAAAAATATATATATATATATATCTCCTTTGCGTAGTAATAGCTGAGATTTTGGGGGGGTTGTCCCAGGCATCGAAGCTAACAATGGACATGTCAAAGAAGGGGGCTCTTGCCTCACTAATAATGGCACAAAAACTGTGGGGTTGTTGCGATGGGTTTCTTGGGGGTTTGCGATGTTCTTTTCCCTTGGGATAACTGGAGGAGTTGTTTAACTTTTCCACAGTGCGCAGCTTTTCTCACCACATCCTGTACCCAAGAAATAAGGCTTGCCAGTTCCACCTCCAATTAGGCCTATGCTGCCCCACATATAAGCTTGTAGGATATGATTCAGAATATTGTAAACAACACACCTTTTCACTAGGACCTGAAAGGTTTTCCCTCTTGGACTCCTGCAGTTCACAAGAAGCAGATAAAGTTCTACCTTATGAACTCATGTTGTCCCAGTCAGTGTTATGCTCCAGCTCTGCATAACTCTACTCTTTTTAGTAGCTGCTTTGATGCTTATTGATGAATTGTACATCGGACTTGTAAGCAGGGTCAGACAAGTTACACATTTGCAAGTATGCAGTTTGATGATAGGTACAAACACAAAAGCAAGCCTTATCACTAGCTACCATACATCTGCTACCAACACAACTGCTGATTACCAGTTTATATTTTTAGACTAGGAACCTGGCTTCTGGTGATAGGTGGCTTATCTGGACATTTGCTTTCCTTTGTTTCAGTGTTGAGGAATCATGTTTGCCTTGTTTGACATTAATTATACAATTGTTGCTTTTTAAAAATGTGCGTGTGTGGGCGTACATGTGTAGTGTAACCAACCAAATTTTTTTTGTAGGGCCAAAATGCTGTCTCCCATTTGACACTGAGAAGAGTTTTTGTCTTCTAATTTTGCCCTCTGCTCCCCTTCCCCCCCGGATATCCCGATCTCGCTATATCTTCCATTCTGCTTGCCTTTCGCACAGTGGTATTCCCATATGAATGTGAAACAATCATTAATCATTTCTCCTCACAGACTCTGTCACTATTACATGTTACAGAGTAGGTGCTATAAAGGCAACTCATTGGTCTGGTGATCATTCCTGTCTCTTTGATTTCTATGGCTCATTGTAACTGCTGTCAAGGACATTTAAAAAAACAACAACAAGGAGTCCTTGTGGCACCTTAGAGACTAACAAATTTATTTGGGCATAAGCTTTTGTGGGCTAGAACCCACTTCATTTTAGTGGACACTCAGGATTTAAATGTTTGCTGCTGCTTACTGTATAGCCTGCAGTAGGTCTCCATTGTTTTTTTTATTGTTTATTCTGCATTGTCCCTTTCTTTAAGTATGTCTGTGTAGATCCCACTGTAAGTGAGCATGTGACTTATGCATGCAAGATCAGAGTCTTTTGACACTTGCTTGTGCCCTGTGCTTCCTCATGGTCCTGTGTGAGGACATAACAGGGAGTGACCGCAACCCCTCCGGTTCCCTCTTGCTGCCCATGGTATTGAGATGAAATCCAGCAGTATACAACCTGCTGCTCTTTTGCGTTAGCAGATTCAGGGCTGGTCTTACCATGAGGTGAACTGAGGCGTCTGCCTCAGGTGCCAGACTGTGGGGAGGCGCCACTAGGACCCAGAGTGTAGAAAATTGTATCTGCTGCTGGTGCATATGTATTCTCTCTGCTCTAGATGCACAGAGATGGTGGAGTGCTGTGCTGGAGGAAGGAGGGCACAAGAGACATAACAGGCAGGCAGGAGAAAAGGTGAGAGGGAATAACAGAAAGCAGCAGGAGCTGCAGGGAGAGAGAGGAGGAGGAGCCTCTTATGTACCTCTCTAGCACCCCCAGGAGCCTGGACTGATTAACACCAGCTTCTCAGGGAGCTTCCTGTTTCCTGCTGCTTCCCTGAACCCACTTGAGGAGAACAGGCAGTCAACTGAAGTAGTAGGAGCCAGTTAGGCCCTTAAGACGCTGATATCTTTCCTCATTCAGGCCCTGCTACCAGCCTGCTTATTTGTCCCCTTCAATTCAGTGTTGAGAGCCACTATAGCTGGCACAGAACAGCAGTCACGAGTGAAAGAAGAAAATGCCCCTCTGGGGCAGCATTCAGAAAAAGAAAGAAAGCAAAGGAAGCTTTTCTGTCTAAGCAGGAAGGAGCTCTCCTGAGATACATAGACACAAATGTTCACAGTGAGCCTTCCGGCCCCAGTGAGGATGTGAGTGGTGAGGAGATGCCTGATCTTCCAGTTAGTCAGAGTGCAAGTGACATGGCAGCTACTGCAGCATCCATATCTCCATCTCAAATGGATGTTACTATGCACATTCCTGAAGAAAAGTGTAGATCAGAGAAGAGTGTGAAGAGTGTGGTGGAGGTGCAAGAAACAGCTGCTGCTGAGTTTAATTTCTTAAGTCTAGATGATCCAGGACTGTGGATCCACTTGAGCAGTAGCCTGAGTGACTTCCTTGTACTGCATAGGCCACAGCAAGTGAAAAACTTCATGTTCCCCAAAGACAATGAAAATAGAAGTTTCCATCCAACACCTTACTGGCATGAAATCGCCAATGGTAACAAAGTGGAGAGGCCATGGCTTATGTACTCAAAAACCCAGAATGCTGCATACTGTTTTTGTTGTCCCTCTACAGCTAGAGAGAGACTTCTGAGCTCCTGGCTCCCAGCCTTTTCATACCGGCCAGCTGTGGCCTGATTGGGGTGTGGCCCAGCTGCGGCCGATTCCCCAATCAGCCCAGCTTTTAGAGCTGCAGTTCTCCCCAGGGCTGCTTTCAAGCCCTTCCAGGCAGGAGCAGGTGTTCACCCCGCTACAAGAGGCCAAAGCAAACCTTCAAGAATAAGCCCATTAAGCGCCATATAAAAATAAGAGCTAGTGAAGTGGAATTGGTTATACTTGCAGTATTGGCGAAACATGCCTCAGGAACCGACTCCATGAGCAATGATGACCATGCAGAAACTGATTGAACTCCATTAGAATCACTCATGGTACTGGCAGACGCCCTACTGGAGGAACCACATATACCCAAATGATGAACCTGGCACTGAGACCACTGCCAGCACTGGAACAGAACCCAGTACTGAGAACACCATATGCCTTGGTACTGCCTTGGGAGAACGTGTATTCCTCTTTCCTGTCATCAGGTCACATTTTCTGACCATTGTCAAGCAGAAATCCATCTCCCTCAAGGTCATCGGGGACCCAGTGGAAAGAACTGGAATCTCTTCTTTCAGAGCTCTGTCACAGCTTTACTTTGACTGGCAATGGACTGGCCACCACCATGCAAGCCAACCATACCTTTATGGCTTGCCACCATGGCCCTATTGAAGGCATATTGAAAACCGTCATCTCAGGCTTCCAGGAAGTTGATCCCCTTCTCACTTCAGGAAACTGAGAAGATCACATTCTCCAGCAGCATCCCTAGACAGACCACTGACATTGGGCAGGGAGGAATGTCGGGCATCATCAGACATAGTATTGGGACAGCAACACCAATCCCTTAGCCTCCCAAGAACTTCACTTCATTGTTGCCAGATGAAGCAGTAATTAGCTTTCCAAGAGCTGTTAATGAGGATAGCAGACATTTTGAACATTCAGTCTTCAGTGATACAGGAGAAGTCCCATAAATTATTTGATATACTGACTGCATTGGATTCTGCTGGAATTGCTCTCCCAATAAAAAAAGGGATACTCAACCCTGCTAAAGCCTTCTTGGCAGACACCTACCACCATTCCTGCCACAGCAAAAAGGTTTGTAAAATGGTACCGAGTCCCACA